ATAAAAATGCATGCTACCAAATAATTATAAATATGTACATATGTATGATTTCGGATAGCGATATCTATATAGCGACCGCGTATATGGATATGTTGTGCCTTTCTGAATGTGGTGTATGCATCCGCTCGAGATCCACCCTTCTGTTGAAATCGAACACTCTGTGAGGCTCAGAATACCGTTACTCCGCTACCGAGAATTTATATCCAATTGTGTGTACATTTAAAAGTACACTCAATTTGTACATTTATATTCTTTCAGAATATAGGTACTTACATAATATTACGATTTTATCTTTGAGTTTTATTTCAAAATTCTACATACATATGTATGTATATTTTTTGTTAAATAATTCCACTTTATTTTGAATTTGAGGCAGAAACAACACATGTTGTATACCGACATAATTTCAAATATTCATAATACTCGCCGATGCCGTAATTAAATATGTACATACATACATACATACATGGATGAACTCATTTTGTAATTTATTATAAAGATTAAATTTAAAAAACAAAAATAAACAAATTATTTTTTTTATTTATCCAACCAAACATACATCCATACATACAATATGTTTCCATAAATATCTAGAAATGTATGTACATATGTACATATATCGTAATGTCAGAAAATAAAATTAGCTTTCATTTTATCATTTCAATACAAAACAAGTAAAAACAACTAGAAAATTTTATAGTAACCCGAAATAAAAACAATAATAATAAAGAAAAACAAAAACAGCCGTAAATTCTTGAATCAATGGAATTTTTTTATTTTTTTTATTTTTCCTTATTATTGTTCTTTTGAATATGGCTTCACATTTTTTTAAGCGTTTGAAAACAGAGCATTGTAATATACGTACGAAAACATACTTATGCATACATAATATATATGTATCTAATCAAAAATCATACATATGGTATTCATATATATCTATGCACATATGCGTATAAACTTGCACAGATGGCTATCAAAAAGCGTTTGTTATTTCGTTCATATTATAAAATTCCGTCTCGTTCCTATCGAACGAAATAATCATCGAATATAAAAATGAAAAATGCTAAAGTAAAATTTATATACATATATATATATGTACATATTATGCATTATTAATAAAAGTTTATTTGAAAAAAAGATGGCAACAAATACATAAGCAATATTATGATATACATACTTGCTATGTAGTTTAAACACATGCATAATTTCATACTCCAATTGTGTATGTGTGTGAGCAGAAATATAAAATTTTCAGCTGGCTTTTTTTTTTTAGTCAAATAAAATTAAATGATTTTATAATTTCGTCCTTCACACACAAAAATAAAATAAAGGGAAAATAATATGAAAAATTCTGGCTGAAATTGCCTTTTGTAAGAGTGTGTGTTTAGGTAATACAGTTGCCAGTGTTTAGTTCTTTTTTACTTGACATAAAATTTCATATTTATGGTTTTCTTTTGAGGAAAAAAAAACGTTCATAATATATTGTTATACATAGGAGTTTGCGTACATAATTATTATCAAATATCAAATAAGTATGTATGTATGTGCGTATGCAAGTAGCTCCGAGCTTGTTCATTTAACTGATTTCTGAACATTCATGATACAAATGTATGTACATACATACGATTTTTTCTGTTCTGAAAAATTAAATTATGTTTGGATAATTTGGTATTATATCAGGAAATTTGACGTGATGTGAAAATTAATTATATGTACATATTTAGGTATATACTTAACATAACATGATTATGTATATTCCACCCTTACGTTTGGATGGCAAAGATAGAATATCCTACATCCATATATAAGTTATATTACTTTTGCGAATGTATGAATTTCATAGTAAGTATAATTATGTTAATGCTTACATATTACGTACTTTAATTGTAAGTTCTAAAATTAATATTTTTGTGTTCGCATTCGTTGAATGTATTATACTTATTTTGTTTTAAATACGTCATGACAACAGTGCTGCCATCTTTTGTTGTTTTGCTCAAATGAACATTTTGTATTAGGTTTATGTCAAATATTGCAGAAGAATATTATGCTATAGGAGAATTTTTACATATAATTCATATGCGTAAGTTTATATAACACAATTCATATACATATGCGTACAATTCATATTCGTAACCTAAATATTGTAGTTTCGTAATTTAGAAACAAAAAATATACCTATCCATACATATTTGATTATAAGCCACTTCGTATATTTACGAAAATTTACGACTTACAAATAACAGATTTTATAGTATTCAGCAAAAAAATTTGATGAGTTTTTAATAAAAGAAAAAAAAAATTTAAAGAATAAAGTCATACTTGCATAAAACATATTTACATACATACATATTATTAATTTAGCATATTTACATACATACATATTATTAATTTAGCATATTTACATTTCTTCAGCTAGAACTTAAAATATAAGTAGTTGCTGAAGATATTAGGCAACAATTGCAAAAAAATGAAAATAAAAAAAAACCAGTTGAATTTTGAATTCTTGTGCATTCTTGTTGTTTTTTCAGAAATATAAAAACAAAAATCTATAATATAAAAAAATATAATTTCGTATTGCATTTGAATTTGTTTCGAATAAATAAAATGCGAAGGGTAAAATGTGTATGTATTTAACTAAATTTTGAGGCAGGAAAATTTCAATTTGCATGAGTGTGTGTTGTGTTAGTGTTACGGCGTATACATATGGATTTTTTTTTAATTTTTAATGTATAGGTTACCGCCATACACAATATATAACTGGAAATTATACACATATGTAAATAAAATATATTGATTTTCAACAGAAAGTGAAGTACTAAAAAAAAACCAGAAAAAACAACAACACAATCTAAATATGAGAAATGAATAAAGATTAATGACGTCATAATGAATGTAAACTTGATAATAATTAAAAGCGAAAAAAAAAATCGTCGCTAAAATAGTAATATGAGTATTAATTTTTTTTTTTTTCAAAACATAAAATGATGACGTTGTTTTGAGTGAGAAATTTATGACAATAACGATGATGATATCAGTAATATTATTATTGAATAAAAGAATGAGAGAAAGAGAAAATAAGTGGCTGTAAAGAAAAATTATAACATGAAAAAAAATAGGCGTGAAATTATTCTTTGTTAAACAAGTAAATAAATAATTGAGTAAAATTTTGAGTATTTTATTTTAAATATCTACATTGTACATAAATAATATTACGTTAAGTATTAACATAGAATATTGTAAATTTTTGCACTTATCTAAAAAAAAAATAAAATTATTTCATTTAATGGTGTTTGATAATTATATTTTAATTTATTTTAATAATTTTTGTTTTAATATAAAGATTCAGACAGATAACAAATTATATAAATCTTATCTTTATTATGTCGCTCGTTTGCTGCAACTACTGATATAACTCAAAATTTGCACATTTGAGAAAATCGAATTTTTAAGTTTTTATTTTAATAATATTCTTCTGGTTCTGTTCTAGCATTATTTCATAAATTATTATGTGTAAAAGACAGTTTTCAAGCTCGAGAATTGGCCTTTTTACTAATTTATGTCATTGTTGCAGCAAATAAGCGATAGAAGCAATAAAATGTAGGTATATGTAAATATATAAATCAATTCAAGTACATTTAATTATACTTTATATGCATTAAATGTACATAAATTCAAAGAAACTTAAGATTGGAAAAATTGTGTATAAAATAATATAATGATGTGGTTGACTTTCTTATTTTAATTCAAATTTTGAATATTTCTAACAAAAATGTGGAATCTATGGCAAAAAAACAAATAATTTAATTTTACAAATAGGGGTTAAATAATTGAAAAATATTCAATAATTCATCTGGCTATCAAATAATAATTTAATTTTTACTATGACAAATTTTCAATAAAATTTTTTCATAATTTATTATTTATAATTTTTATTACAAATATTCAGTAGGTATTCATTTTTCTTGAAATATACATATGTACAATATTTTAATTTTTCATAGATAAGGTGAATGCGTTTGCTTGACTATATTTAATTTTATACCTTTTATAATTGCTTACAAACCTATTTTAATTAAATATACTTATATCTACATGTGATGGAAATGTTGCAACATTATTTTATTAAATAAAAATAACAAAAAAAAAAAACAATTAATATTTTCCTTAAAATTTTATTTTAAACAATAATTATCTTAATTAGTAAAATAATTACTTTTAAAGATATTTTAAAAATATAATGCAAATTTTTAATAATAATAAAATATTAAAAAAAAGACATACTTAAATAATTATATTTAATTAGAATTATATATTTATAAAATAAAAATTTTTAATATTGCAAATATTGAAAAAAACATAAAGTGAATAAAAAAATTAAATTACACAAGAGTTGTTGAATCTCCCATAATTAAAATTATAAAACACAATTATTATTTTTAATTTTTTTATTTTTTTCTTTTAAAATCATAAATTATAGTGGCATATCGTTTCCTTGCTATAAATATTAATACAAATAATTTTTCAATTTAAAAACTTAAATTTTTTTTTTGGTTATTTTATTTCTATCTTATATTTCACATTTTTTAAATCTACAATTTCATTTTACACCATTTAGAATTTCTTTTTTTTTTCAATTAATTTACAATTGCACATAAATTTAGATTTTTTTTATAAAATTTTTTTGAATTTATTAACCATAATATTACATACTGTTATATAACTATATTTATATATACATATACAAATATATGTCTATATATATATACAAATGTATAAAATTTTCTTTAAAAAGAAGAAAATAATTTTTCCCTTTATTTATACATCTCAATTATTGTGCAATTGTTATATCTCTATACTATCCAAAGAAAATAAACAAAACAAAAATTTTAACTTTATAAAAAAAAAAAAATTTTTTTTAAACAAACAACAAAAAAAAAAATTTAGTTGATTTTCTTTTTCGTTCATTATTTTCCATTTGATTTTTTATTTTTTGATTTTAGTTTATTCAACAATGCCACTACCACCGAATACAATGGGAGATTCAACCATAAATCCTAGTCCCACGTCGCAAATGCAACGTCCATCACAACAACAACAACAATCACAACAGCAATCACATCAACAGCAAATATCACATTCTCATTCAATAACATTGCAACAACAGCAACAACAACATTCGCAGCATACGCATGCGCCGCATTCGCATTCATCTTCTCAACAACAACAATCTCAATCAAAACAAAATTCTTCAATAGTTAATACACATCATAGTAATTCTTTACAGCAACCTTCAACAGTTTCTATGACTATAGCAACAACAACTCAATCACAAATATCAAAAGTTGCAATGCAACATTCTCAAACACAACAATCACATAATAATAATCATAATAATAATAATAATGTTATATCAAATCAAATAAAATCAAATAGTCATACGCAATCTTCTCAACAATTACAATCTATATCTCAGTCACAATCACAACAACATCAACAACCAAATCCAATGATCAATTTAATGTCTATTACAGAAACATTACCACCAAGTAGCCCAAGAAATGGTCCAAGTCCACCAGGTCCACCACCACCAAGAACGGCATCCCGTGGTAGTCAACATTCTCCCAATAGTTCAGGTAAGATGATTTAATAACTTGTTTTATTAAATAATAAATTTTAATCTAAAAAATATTTGAATAATTAAATAAAACCTAATTTTGTTTTTAATTATTTAAAATAATTAGGATCATCATCAAGTGGAAGAAGATCATCTGGTTCCAGGCATGTATCAAGTACAACAGTAACCAGTACAGATGCACAATCAAATCCGTCATCGGTTGGTGTTACTGGCGGTCCACCACAATCTATTGGTTCTGCAAATCCAGTTACTGGTGTTGGAGGTCCTAATGGTATATCTGCACCTGTTGGGCCAACTGGAAATGTTGGTAATCCAAATGTTGCAAATGGTGCTAATAATAATAATGCTCCAAATACTGGTGTACCACAAAACGGACCACCAGATGGTTCAGTTCCAACATCTGTTGGTAGCGGTGGAGGTGGTGGTAATAACGGTCCAACATCAGCACCAAATGCAACACTTAAATGTACCCTATGTCAAGAAAGATTAGAAGATACACATTTTGTGCAATGCCCGTCTGTTAATCATCATAAATTTTGTTTCCCATGCAGTCGTGAAAGTATAAAGAGACAAAATGTAAGAATTTTTTTTTAAACCACTTTTTTTTCAAATCTAAATTATTTGTATACTACAATTTGTATTTTATAATTTTTAGGGTTCTGGAAATGAAGTATATTGTCCATCTGGTGAAAGATGTCCATTAGCAAATTCAAATATACCATGGGCATTCATGCAAGGTGAAATTGCAACCATATTAGGGGAAGAGGTTAAAGTTAAAAAAGAACGAGAATCTTAATGACTTTTTTATTCAAAAAAGTTAGGAAAATATTTAAAATATGCAAATGTTAAATGATTTATAAAATAAAAGCAAACATTAAAAAAATTAACACAACAAAAATTTAGATAAGAAAACAACAATCACTTAAAAAACAAAATGAATTTGTCACGGATTTCATTTTTGTGTCAAATTGGACTTTGTAATTCAATAAAAGGAGAAAATCAAGCAAAAACTAAGAGTAGAAAAGTGGACGATAGCAAAAAAAAAATGGATAATTTAAAATCTTTTGAAAAATTTATGTAGATACAAAATAATTATAATATTCAGAAGAATTTTTTTTTTGTTTTTATTTTAAAAATTAATTACTTACTACTATGTTTGTCGGATATTTTAAGTACAGAGATATTTTGTTTAAATTTTGTTATCTTATTATAAAAAATGATTAACAAAAATTTAAAGTATGTAGTATGGAGCTTGCTTGAAACTTTAAACAAAGACACCAAAAAAACAAAAAAAAAAATTAATAAATAAAATTGAAATTTTAAAGAAGAAAACAAAAGATATTGCAATTTTAAAAAATAAAAACACAAAGAAAATTTAAAAAAAAAAAAACTTTGAAACAAATTACTAGTTTTTTACTAGTAGTTTAAGAATTTTTGTTTTTGAAAATTAAACAAATTGTGGTAAATTACATTTTTTTAATGTAAAAAATGTAAAAAAATTTGTATTTTGAATATTTGTAATATTACGTATTAAATTAAAATAATTGTACTATTTAATACGTAATCAAAAAAATTAAATATTAATATTTTTACCTTGTTTTTGTATTTCTTTTCTTGGAAAACAAGAAAAAAACAAAAACCATTTTCTTAACATTTCGTTAAATATTAATAAAATATTTATATATAAAAAAAAAACAAAAATATATTATATACACAATTGTAATGTGTATTTTATAAAATTTAAAATAAATGTTTGAAATAACAAAAAAAAAAAAAATTTTGTAGCAAATTAAGGAAAAATTTAAAAAAAAAAAAACAAAAGTAACTAATTTAAAAAATCAAAAAAATAAAATAAATAAATAAAACATTTGATGATATAAATAGAAAATATAAATACAATTTTTTACTTGATTTTAAAATAATTAACATTATATAAATATAATAAACATTAATATAAATAATAATTATATTTTAGGTGGTTAATTTAGTAATCATTACAATAAAATTTTATGTAAAATAATTATAAATGTGTAATACACAATTAATAACTTTATATATATTATACAAAATTATATAAAGTAAATTATATACACAAAACAAAAAAGTTTTTTAAAAACAAAACTATATTTAAAAAAAATATATATATATATATATATATATTAATATTTAAATGTGAATTTACTATTATTATTATAATTTTTTTTTTTTGCAAAAAAATGTAAACAAAAATTCAAAACAATTTAATATATAATATTAAAAAATTAAATAAATGAAAAACAAAACAAAAAACTAATACAAGAAGAACGCATTAAATTTCTTAAAAAAAGCAAATAACTAAATATTACTTTGTAATTTTTAAAATAATAAATAGTTTTATAATATGATATAAGTAAGTACTAAATAAAATAATAATTCTATATATAAATAAATATATTTAAATTTATATATAAAAATATACGGATATTATATATAATGAAAATACTTATGTAAATGGTAAAAAACAAAAACAAAAAAAAAATAGAAATGTAGAAATTAGAGAAATTAAAATAAAATTGTATTGTACACCGAAATAATAATAAAAATTTATTGAAAAACTTAAAAACAGAAAAAAAAAAAAACATTAATAAATTTTTAATTAAATTAATTAAAAAAATTAATTTTTTGCTTAAGAATTTATATATTATATATGAAAATATAATGTATGAAAATGTTTAAAATCAATTTTTAAATGTGACCCCATCAACATCAAATTTTTATTAATTTCAAAGTAATTCAATTTTTAAAGACTAATTTTAAAGTTACTTTCAAAATAATTGACAATTTATTGAACGACAAGTTTAAAAAAAATGTATACATATTTCGTTTTCATTGAGGATTTTCGAAAATTCAGTTGTAACCTAAATCTTAACATAATGTACATATTCGAATATATCAAAATAATAAAATCTTAAAATGCAGAGTATGTTCGATAAATCTTTACAAAAAAAAAGCAGGTTTGAAAATCGTTGCAGATTCTAAAGGCTTCTAAAGATTTTTTTTTTTAACTGCTGCAATAATATTTTGAGTTAGAAAAATCATATAAAAAATGTAAGATATTAAAAATCTGAAAAAATTAGTACTTATAGTTTTGTAATGATGCAAAACCACAAAGGTTTTTAAGATTTAAGTTAGAACTTTAAGTGAATATCTGAATTATCGAAAATCTTCAATTTTTATATTTATGTAAATTAAAAATTTTGATATTTTTTTTTTTTTTTTGAAACGAAATTAAAAATGTGTATTATTCACAATTAAATCATAATTTCGATTTACACTTTAAACTATTTTATAATCTGTTGTAGTAATTTTAAATTATTTGGAATTAGATTCAATATGCTTACAACCACGTGTACCCTTTCGGGGGAGAGGGAGGGCCGCGTTAACTTACATTTGACTATTTTTATAATTTGATGTGAAACTATTCATACTTATATATTCTATTTATGTATGTATGTATTTTTGTATGTAGGAAACTCTTATAGTATTAAAAAGAAAGAAAATTTAATTTTTCTTTGATTGGTTAACAAAAACAAAAAAAAATTAATTTATTACAACAATTTAATCTTGAATAATTTTGGCTTTAAAGAAATCATTGTATTTTTTAATTTTACAAATACTTCTTTTCTTTTTAACAAATTCTTCTTTTCATATTTGATTGAACTGATTTTTATAATAACAATTTTAAATAAGAGTTATCCTATAAAAAATAATACAAAAATATAATATAGAAAAGAAAAACTTGAAATTACTAAATAATAATAATAAAAAAAAAAATCATAGATAAAGAAATAATTAAAAAAAAAAATTCAAAAAAAATAAAAAAAAAGGATAAAAATAAAAAAAAAAATTGATTTTGTGATATTGCTAAAACATTGTTTAGAAAATTATTTAATTACAATAAATGCATCTACATATTTATAATATGTATTATGCATTTTATATTGAACTCATGAACATTTTACATGAACATTGAGTAATAAAATGATTTGTTTAATAATAATAATAATATACATACAATAAATTTATATAAAATGTATTAATATATATATAATAAATATAATATTTACTTATAATATCACTTATATATGTTGATAGATATTGTAAAAGAATAGCAATAAAAAAAAAATGAAAAACATATTTATTATAATTGTATTAAATAATTAGGAAATCAAAAATTAATTTGAATTTTTTTTTTTTATTATTATATTCCAGTAACATACAAAAGTATTCAAAATAATTATTATTTTAAAAATAAATTACAAAAGTGATTGTTTTTTTATTTGCTTTTTGTTTTTGATTCTCTCCACTTAATATTTTCTACAATTGTAAAATTTTTAGTCCTGCAAATATGCTTTTTATGATTATTGTTCATCACATTATCAAATTATGATAATATTGTATAATTAAAGTTTCTTTCAATATAAAATTTTTAAATAACTGCGATAAATTATGTAAAACAAAAGTTAATATTGATTTTTAATTTTTCTTGCACTTTTGATATTAACATTCCAATTTAATTTTATCCTTATTTATTATTGCAATTTTAATTTTCTCTTTTAAATTTCTGAATTTTAACTTAATAATAATTACGGGTTAAATATTTAATTTTTAAACACGTTTACACTTTTCTATTAAATTATTTGTGTTTATTCTTTTCGAAAAAGTACATTTGAATTTTAAATACAAATTTATTTTGTAAGCAAGTAATAAGACAAAGTTATTAAGTTTTTGATCCTGTTGTTTAACATTTTAATTTCTAAGTAATTTGTATGCTTTTCTAAATTAAATATATAAATATTTCATTCTTATTTTGTTCAACCTTTAATTTTTAAAAATATATATATATATATATATATATATATATATATATATATCAAAATTTAACTTAATCGCTATTTAAATTTATATTAACAAATAATCTATAAATGTATTATAAAAATATATAATATTAAATTTTGCAATAATTTTATGACAGGATAATAGATATATGAAAGGAAAACAAAAAATACTGTATATTTGCAAATCTTCTTGCCATTTATGACTTTCGAAATATTTGTAATTTTCTTAAACAATCAATTTATTAATCATCTACATTATTGTATTCATATAAGAATATAATAATAATATATTAATTTGCATATGTTTAGTTAATCTGATAAATCTGATAAATAAATTTAATTTCTATATTTACTAAAACAATATAAATTCAATGACATTTTGTTTTTCTAACCAGTTTCTTTTATGCATATTTGATATTTACTCGTATTTAAAATTTTCTGCGTTCAAATTACAAGCTTATTACAAACACCAAATTCAGACACACAATATTATTTCGAGTTCCCTGTACGAATAATTTATTTAAATAATTTCATTAAAAGCTATTATTTTTCAAAAGTATTTTGAAATTAAAAACAAAATTTATAAATTTTCATAATTTTTTAAAAACAAAACTTGAAATGTTAAGCTTATGCTTAAATATTTAAATAAAAAAAACAAGAGTTTCCTTTAAATAAATAAACAACAATTTATTGAATTAATTTGAAAAAAAAAAATGGATTAAATTATTTCTGGAAAAAGAAATTTTACTAAATAATAAAAAATATATTTTGTATTTAGTACGTTATGTATATTAATTTTTTTTTCTTATGAAATGAACTTTATAATTGTAAGCTTTTTTTTTTTTATTTTTTTTGGAAATAAATAAAGATTATATTCTTTTAAAATAAAATAAAAAATAAAATGAACAGCTTGTAAATATTAGTTTGTAATTTTAATAAATAATAAATTAAAATAAAATTTAAAAATCCCAGAATTATAGGTTACAATAAAAATTTAAATTTAATTGTAATTGTTTTTACTTAAGTTTATTTTGTAAGTTATTCTTTGGAATAAAAAAAAAAAATTTAATAAATAATTTATGTAAAAACAAAAAATAAAACTATGTTTTTAGTTATTCTTATCAAATTTTTTTTTGTGTAATAATTTTGAAATTAATTAAAAAAAAATATTTTATAGACTCGTTCATTCGGTCATTATATTATAAATTCAATATATATATTATTATATTTTTTTATTATTTGTTTGGATTTTAAAATTTAATACAAATATTAAAATAATAATTAAATATATGTAATTACAAAGAAAGAAAGAAAATTTTAAAAATTTAAAAGCGAAAAAAAAAATAATTTAATTTATTTAAAATAAAATTTTTTTTTTATATTTTATAAATTATTGTACATATTTATATATAATATGTATACATATTATTTATAACAATATAAAATTCTTAATTTAATAATACATAATTTATATGAAATATATAAATTATGAAATTTCATGTATGGATACTTTAATATACAATTTGTATTTATAAATATATTATATAAAATAAGTATATTAAATCATAATGAAAAAAAAA